GCTTGGCGGCGTGGTCGGCCTGGTAGCCTGTCTGTCTGCAGAGGCCAGGCAGAGCTTATGGCCGGACTCCTCGCTCTGTGGTGTCACCGGCAGGAAGGAAAAGTGTTTGTGGTGTCACATGCGATCGAGGGGACAGGTGCTTTTGTGACAGAAACCGCGGACTCAGTCTTCAATGTCATGCGACCCAGGGCTACTCTGTTCATCTCAGATGACTCAAAACTGCTACATCTGTGGCTTTCCTTGGACCTAGAAGGGCCAGGTCAGTTAAGGTAGGGACAAGTGCCTGAAAAACATTTATTCCCACAGCCAGGAGAACATGCTGTGTGTGTCTATGTTAGAGTCAGGGCTCTGATGACTGCTGTCAGTGCAGACTCACAGAGGGCAACAGGTCCCTTAGTGGCTCTGGGAGGCCTGGGATAGAACTCAGACCTGAAAGAGCACAGATGGAACAGAAGATGAGGATCTCAGTACTTCACTGTGGATGAGCAGCTCCTCTCCTCCCAACCCACCAATGACCTGCCTGCAAATTCTTCTTTCTTGGCATGGTTTTTAAATAACCTGGTAAACTCAGTTCTTACGGCCATTTTCCGAGAACTTAGCAGCTTAAATTCTCCAGTCTATGTCCAGAAAATGCCAAGAAAAATAGATTATGTCATATATTTACCTACAAGTTCATGCTAAGAGCCCAGTATGTTTGTTCTAAGCCAATTCCATTCAACGATTAGAAAGGTAGTTCAAGAGATTTAATCAAAATCCCATAGGAAGTCAGGGAATATAAAATACAGTTCCTTAAATTCCTGTCTTCAGATTTTCCTATTGAGTTACAGAAATATGCAAAATATGATAATATCCATGCATTGTAGGATAATGAATTTTAATGGCCTTATAATCCAGCATCATCACTATCATCATCATCATCAATCAAGTAAAGCAAAGTGTACCCACATGGCCACATGGTAACTACTGTGGATATTATTTTTATTACAATGAATACCGGGTTGCTTCACAGGTAGACTTTCTGGGATATGCCTTTTGAAGACAGTTTGAAAATCTAAAATTTATTGGTGTTTAAAAATATTTTCTTCTTTTCTCATGCCTGTGGTTTGTTTCATTTTTGGTGCTCTCTCTCCCCCTTGTGATTGTAGCAACCATGCATCACATTTTAGATAAATCTTTAGCTCCCTAGAGGACAAGCTTCTTGTTGTTTGTCTCCAACTCCTTTTGATTCTCCCCTAAAAATAAAATATTCCACTGGAACAATTTTCTAAAGCACATCCTCATTTAGAAATGAGGATCTAAAAACTATCCTTATTTACCTTGATATTGACCTCAAAAGATAAGCATTTTATCTAGGGTTTTATACAGGTTAATAAACACCGCAATGAAGAGTCTGATGACTTGGACTGTCAGAATTGGACCAGAATGTTTGAATGTATTTGGGAGCATCTATGTAGACACAGCAGTCAGGAGTTTGAGGTTCTACGCTTTCACTGTCTCGGGCACACTCTAAATCCACTACAGATCATTTAGGGCCAGCTCCCTGCAATTGCTGGTTGGATTCGCATTTTGTTCAGCCTTAAGTGGCATCTTCAACTCCTTCCCACCTCTCACAATTAGCCAGGAAAGAGCCAGAGGAAATGGGCTCTGCAGGATCACCGACATTCAGGTCACCCTAGGGCTGCTCACTTATCAGGGAGCCTGTGGAGAAGGCAGCCCAAGACTGAACACCTCCAAAAATAAACACTCAGGAGCATCTCATGCACCTGGCTCTTCAGGCAAAATTAGTCTAACCTGAAAGCTTTGGGTTAACTCCTAGGAACTAGTTGTTAATTAAAGCCGGGCCTCCCTGTTGTCATGGCATTAACAAGCTATCAAGTCTACTTCATGGAAAGTTAGTTGTGCAGTAGCAACTGGTAAGAATTTAGAAAAGTCTTACAATATAATAGGCAACTTTCAAGATCTCAAAAAAGACCACAATAGTTGAAACATTGGGAGAATATAAGGATACTATAATTAACAGAAATAGAGGGACAGCAACAACCACATTCCCTGAGAAAATATCCCCCAAATGGAAGAGTAAAGTCCCTAATATTGTGATAATGTTGTGGAAACTGTTAAGTGTGATGGCTCCTCCATGCTTTCAATGTTGCCTTCCACAGAAAGTTGATGTTCATAAAGAACCAAGTGTTTTGAGTCATACAAACTATTTTATGTTCAATTTATCATCACCACCACCATCATCACCATCATCACCATCACCCTCATCATCACCATCATCACCATCACCCTCATCATCACCATCATCACCACCACCATCATCACCACCATCATCACCACCACCATCACCATCATCACCATCACCATCATCACCACCACCATCACCATCATCACCATCACCATCATCACCACAATCATCACCATCACCACCACCATCATCACCATCACCCTCACCACCACCACCACCATCATCATCACCCTCATCATCACCACCGTCATCACCATCACCCTCATTACCATCATCAACATCGTCATCGCCATCATCTTCACCCTCATCATCATCTTCATTATCACCATCTCCATCTCCATCACCATCATCACCACCATCACCATCATCACCACCACCATCATTACCATCACCATCATCATCACCATTGTCATCATTATCTTCACCATCATCACCATCACCAACATCACCATCATATCACCATCTCCACACCACCATCATCTTCACCATCACCATCACCTCCATTATCACCATCACCATCACCACCATCATTATCATCACCATCACCTTTAAAGCTGCAAAGAAGAGATTTGTGCTTTATCTGGGGAAGGGCTGGGCATTTATTTGCTGTGCCTGCCCAGGCTCAATACCTCTCCTTGGCTCTTTTTTCCATGAATGACTCAAAGACGGGTCCAAATTTTATCTCATCAAGTATCTAGTTGGTTACAAAGTGAAAAGCCATCTGAAGCCTCTCAAAAGGTCTTTTCTCCAAAGAATGCAGTGATCTTTCTTCCCAATGCATAGCGTTAGGTACTATGAATGTAGAGTGAAATAATGTCAGCTCTTAGAGACAATTAGAAAAGACACTGGAAATTACTTGGGATCTGTAGGAGAAAGTTCCTATATAAACCCAAGCATTAGTTACCATTCAGCCCTGTATTAGTCAATTCTCACATTGCTCTAGAGAAACACCTGAGACTGGGTAATTTATAAAGAAAAGAGGTTTAATTGGCTCAAGGTTCCGCAGGCTGTACAGGAAGCATGGCTTCTGCCTGGCTTCTGGGGAGGCCTCAGGAAGCTCACAATCATGGTGAAAGGTGACATGGCCAGAGTAGGAGCGAGAGAGAGCCGGAGGGGAGATGCCACACACTTTTAAATGACCAGATCTCATGAGAACCATTCACTGCCACGAGGACAGCACCAAGGGGACGGTACTAAACCGGGCATGAGAAATCCGCCCCATGATCCAATCGTCTCCCACCAAGTTCCGCCTCCAACACTGGGGATTACATGTCAATATGGATTTCGGCGGGGACACAGATCCCAGCCATATCAAGCACTGTCACTGGGGAAAGTGAGGGGGAAATTCCATTTCCACAGCTTCTGAAACTTCAATAGGAACTTTCTAAAGAAAGTATTTAATATTCACTTATGTCATCATACGTATATAAATGATAGAATCACTATACTATTTTATATATAATTCAAATGCAAAGCAGTAGGTCATTTCCATATTACAATACAATCCAGATTTAACGTACAAAATTTTGGCTGGGTTCAGTGGCTCGGGCCTGTAAGCGCAGCACTTTGGGAGGCTGAGGCAGGCGGATCATGAGGTCAGGAGTTCGAGACCAGCCTGGCCAACATGGTGAAACCCCGTCTCTACTGAAAATACAAAAATTAGCCGGGCGTGGTGGCGCATGCCTGTAGTCCCAGCTACTCAGGAGGCTGAGGCAGGAGAATCTCTTGAACCTGGGAGGTGGAGGTTGCAGTGAGCCAAGGTTGCGCCACTGCACTCCAGCCTGGGTAACAGAGTGAGACTCCATCTCAAACAAAACAAAACAAAAACATACAAAATTTTTTCAAAGAAAGAAAAATATAAATTTAAGCTTCCTCTTGCTCATGCTAGTTCTCCAGGTAATTATGGGGAATGTGGTATGGGGGGGCGGTGGGTGTCAAGGGGACCCTGGAAAGGAGAACACAGAACACCTGAGGGGCCCACGGAGACCCACCAGAGGCTCCGTCGCTTCTGGGCCTCATGGGACTCCTACCCATGGAGACCCTTGGTAATTAGAGGACACAGTGAGAGCGGAGGTGCCCAGGCGACCCCAGCACCTTCACAGCAGCCACCTCGCTGACTCCTCCCAGCCTGGGCAGCAAGCACTGCTCTACCCCTGTCGTTAGAGGAAGTCACTGGGTCACAGTGACTTTGAGACACATTCCCAGGGTTACACAGCCAGCTTACCATGGAGCCGGGATTGACACCTGGACCAGGGCAAGAGCTGAGTCCCACTCACCGCCTACTTCTGCACAGCCCTCCAGCTAAGCATAAATATTTACATTTTTAATGGCTGAAAAGTGAGAAAAATGATATTTCACGACACCTGAAAACGACACATCCAACTGCGTATTCAAGTCCACGAAGGAAAATGAAGCATTGAGGACGCAGTGGCCCCTCACTAGCCTGAGCACGGTCCAGGCCGTGGCTGCGTTTACGCAGCAGCGGCAGGTGTTGGTGAAAAGAGAGTCTGGCTCATGAAGCCTGGGTTTTTACTCCCTGACCCTTGACTGGGAAGTTGGCCCAGCCCAGGCGGGATGGTGTGTCTCTGGAGCCCACCCCCACACAGCGCTAACTTGTGACGCCCCTTCCTCGTGCCAAATGCCCGGCCATGGCGAGGGGCCCTTGGACCTCTGTTGCAGTCCTTCCTCCTCTCCCACCTCCCAAAACCAAGGCGGCTTCCCTCTTCTCACCCCTCCCCGTCCTCTTCTCTCCTAGTGCACAGCAGCAAACACCTCGTCAGGAAGTTCCGCGGGCACCTGCGCACCAAGATCGAGTCCGGGGAAGGGACAGTCCCCGTGCGTGGCCCCAGTGCAGTGCAGACCTGGGACGGCGTCCTGCTGGGGGAGCAGCTGGTCACCATGTCCTGCACGGACAAGATTGCCAGGTGAGGCCCACAGCTTCCTCTTGTGGACGTTGGCTGCGGCCAGTGGGGGGCGCCAAGCCCCAGGCTCCCTGCGTACCACTTCTGGTGAGGTCAGAGATGTTGGGCACATGAAGTCAGGGCCCTGTGCCTGAGTCGTGGAACTCCACAGCCATTCCGCATGTTCAGTCCCACACCCTGAGGCCAAGGCACCCCGAGTCCCCGAGTGAGCAAGGCCCGGCCACCCCAGACTGCCGCTGCATGGGGCAAACACAACCTGGCCTGAGCTGCCGGCCAGTCGGGGTGGCCATAGGCTAATGAGAAGCCAGGGCCTCCCCTGCCCGCTGCGCTCTCCACCAAAACCTGACAAAATCATCCAGGGACGGCCACAGGCCTTGAGGTCAGCTGCTGGAACACCTCTCCCCCACCACCCAGAGCCATTGTCTTCTTGGAAGGAGTTTTCAAAGCCTCCGTGTGGAGGTCTCCGGATGAGGTGCCTCCGCTGAGCTCTGTGCAGAGGAGCAGGAAGGTGCAGAATGGGCACCCGCCTCCCTCCCAGCACCTCCAGTCGCTGCCACGCCCCGAGCGCCTCCCTGAACCTTGGTCTGACGCGTTGAGACCTCCCCCTACCTCGGCCTGATGCCTGGAGACCTCCTTGACCTTGGTCTGATGCCCTGAGACCTCCCCCACATTGGTCTGAGGCCCTGAGGCCTCCCCAACATTGGCCTAATGCCCCGAGAGTGCCATCCCCACTGCAGGACATTTCTGTAACTTTGGTTTGGAAAATAAGGGTCACAGGTGTGGGGATAGCATGAGTTTCCCTAAAGAGCCATGAACTCCCCGCAAGCCTGATTTAAAAAAAAAAAAAAAAACTAATAACAGCATGGTCACAGGAAGTCTGGGTTGAGTGACCCAGAACGCCCTTGGACACTCTGGTCGTCCTGTTCCTCTGTCATCTGCAGCTGGAGTGGAAACAGCGCACTTGGCGCAAATGTGGTCTCTGGGCACCACCCCTAACTCCCAACGAGGCTGTGGCTCTGAGACCCTCTGTAAGGACGTTTTGTGGTGGAGCCAGGCAGGGATGCAAAGGTTGGTCCCCAGGATGTGCAGGAAGGAGGCTGAGTGGGGAGGGGCAGGAAGCCCAAGGCCCGAGGAGGACCCAGCGCATCACCCCCGAGGCTTGCATGGAGGCTCTTGTGCCCACGGGGTCCTGGGCTCTCGACTGCCACAGCAGGACCTGGGAAGAGAAGGGAGAGGGTGGGCCCAGCCAGCCCCCATAAAATCCTAATCAAAACGCAGCCACCCCGAACAGACAGACGCCCCATTGGGGTGGGCTGTGTCTCCAGTGCCTGCACGGGACGGGCACCTGCCATGTGCCCAACAGATAGTAGGACGACTATTTACCCATCCTAACCCCGAGCGCTGGGCCCTGGCCTGTCCACAAAACCCAAGGGGCTGGAGGTCAAGGGGGTGACATCAGGGAACACAGAGCCCAGGAGGGAAGGGGAGACCCCCGCTGCACCTGCCTCCGCCTCACCTGCCCCAGCCCCTCCAGTCCCCTACAGCTCTGCTCCCCAGGATCCACACAGACTGGCTTCTGGGGCCCAGGCAGATGAAACCCCAGTCCTGACAGCAGTGGTTCCGCCTTCTCATGGAAATGGTAGGAGAGCTGGGGAAAATGGTGCCCTTTCCTTCCCAGCTCTGGGCACTCCTGGCTGGGGAGCCGCAGGGTCGGCCTAATAACAGCAGACCAAAGCCGGCCGTGGTTTCTGCATCATAGGGAACAGCCCACTGTCGACAAATAGCTCATTTTTCAGAAGAAAATGTCTTCCTCCTTTGTAATATTTTCATCTATTCATGACGGAGAAAAAGCAATAATTTTCACCTCAACTGAAATTCTCTTGGTGCCCTAAGATAGCATTGGGTTTCTAAATTTACTCTCTGGTGCCCCAGAAAAATGAAGTAAATTAGCATCTACAGAATTGAAACCTGGCTGTCCTGGGATCTTCAACATCCATAGACGGTGGGCTAAACACAGGTGCAAACCCACGCGACGCTGGACACAGGTACAAACCCACACGACGCCAGGAGGTCCGGTCACAGGTGCAAACCCACATGATGCCAGCAGGTCTGGGCACAGGTGCAAACCCACGCGAAGCTGGACGCAGGGGCAAACCCATGTGACACCGGCAGGTCCAGGCACAGGTGCAAACCCACGCGACGCTGGACACAGGTGCAAACCCACGCAATGCCAGCAGGTCCAGACACAGGTGCAAACCCACGCAACGCTGGACACAGATGCAAACCCACATGACGCCAGCAGGTCCGGGCACAGGTGCAAACCCACGCAACGCCAGCAGGTCCAGACACAAGTGCAAACCCATGTGATGCCGGAAAGTCCGGGCACAGGTGCAAACCCACGCGATGCTAGACACGGGTGCAAACCCACGCAACGCCGGCAGGTCTGGGTACAGGTGCAAACCCACGCGATGCTGGACACGGGTGCAAACCCACCCGGCCCTGGCAGGTCCGGGCACAGGTGCAAACCCACGTGACGCTGGACGCAGGTGCAAACCCATGCAACACCAGCAGGTCCAGACACAGGTGCAAGCCCATGCAATGCTGGACACAGGTGCGAACCCACGTGATGCTGGCAGGTCCGGGGCACAGGTGCAAACCCACGCGACGCTGGACACAGGTGCAAACCCACGTGACGCCAGCAGGTCTGGGTACAGGTGCAAACCCACGCGACGCTGGACACGGGTGCAAACCCACACGACGCCAGCAGGTCCGGGCACTCAGTGTCCACTCAAGGGGCAGGGTTTTCTCTCTGTAACAAAATCTCCTTGAAAAACAAAGGTCCACACTGCTTCCCGGCCAGGGGTTTTCAGTGACTGGGAATTTGGGGCGATTCTAGACTCCTTCTGAAAAGAGAATAAAAGTTTGTGGAAATTGTCACGCCCATAGCTCTGGGTGGCTGGAGTGAGAACTCCTGAATTTGTCCAGGAATTAATCCTAAGCTCCTGCCGGGTTAGAACAGAGTTGTGTCCTCTCTCTCCATTCACAAGTGCTTCACTCCCGAGTCTGGTGACAGGGAGTGCAGTAGACAGAGGGGTGCCCGGGTGTGGGGGCACAGGCAGAGCTTGAAATGCCCCCAGCCACTGGCCGAGGCCCCTCGACGCCCAGCCCACCTTCTGGTTCTGTCCCTGGTTCTCACCTGTCTTAGACTTAGCTTCCCCTTGTCCCCATCATCTCTTCTCCCTCCTTCTCTTGCTCTCGGCCTCTGTCTCTGCCTCTGTCTCTATGTCTCTCCCTCTGTCTCTCTGTCTCTTGGTTTGTCTCTTCATCTCTGTCTCTGTCTGTCTCTGTCTCTCTCTGTGTGCCGGTCTCTGTCTCTCTGTCTCTGTCTCTCTGTCTGTCTCTCTGTCTCTGTCTCTCTGTCTCTGTCTCTCTGTCTCTGTCTCTGTCTCTCTGTCTCTGTCTCTCTGTCTCTGTGTGCCCGTCTCTCTCTCTCTCTCCTTATCTTTGTCTTTTTATTTCTGTCCTCATCTCTCTGTTTCTGTCACTCTTTCTCTCTCTCTCTCTGTCTCTCCCTCTCCATCTCATCCTCCTCCCTGGCTGTGCATATCCCATCTCTTCATCTCTGCTCCACTCACCCTCCCTCACTGATGAGCTCCCTGAGCTGCTCCTTCTGCCTGCCTCCCTCTTCCCCAACGCCTTTCCCTTCTCAGCTCCTGCCGCCACGCTGCTCCCTGACAGAGCCTGCAGGCATTCGGTTCCAGGTACTGTCTGCTTCTGCATCTGAGTTCTGACCTCCGAGGGCTCACCGGTGCTGCTCAGCTGCAGGGTACCTGCCACGGTGGGGTGTACTCAGGGCTGCTCGGCTGCAGGGTACCTGCCACGGTGGGGTGTACTCAGGGCTGCTCGGCTGCAGGGTACCTGCCATGGTGGGGTGTACTCAGGGTCGCTTGGCTGCAGGGTGCCTGCCATGGTGGGGTGCACTCAGTGGCCCTCGGTGGTCCTCGGGAGCCCTCGGTCAACCGCCCTTTTTGGTGAGCAGGAGGGGTAGGAGGAGAAACAGTGGTCCCGACGATGACAGAAGTGGTGCCACCACTCGGAGCCTCTGCTCTGGGCCAGGCACAAGCAGTGGCCTGGGGACACAGCCTTTGGCAAGAAGGTACTTGTGTATCTGCCAAAATCAGACCTAAGCATAGACCAGGATGTCCGTGCTAAGGCAGGAGCTGTTTCAGAATTGCGCCGCACTTGCCATTTCTGAGCGGAAGCATATGTTATGCTAATGATTCCAGACCATAAGCATCTGGGCCGTGCATTATTTGTACAGAGAGACCATCTGATAACGTATGTGTTCATCTGCTTTCTATCCTGTACAAAAACAAAAATTAAACCTAGGGCTTAAATAACATTCAACATAAAAGATCCTTCATACACAAATACGGATGAAATATTCTAAGTCAGGGAGTTCATGACGGCCAGGGCTCTGTGGAGAGTGGAGTCTGAGGACACGGAAGTGGAAGTCGCCGTCTGTGAAGCTGGGGGAGGACACACGTGGCCGTGGAAATGACCTCACACGAGGCACTGTGGCCGGCGCTGGGTGCACAGGAGCCAGCCTCGTCCTGAGGGCCATGATGAGATGTGCAGGCAGTTTTGAAAGTTGGTTGTCAAATAAGTCATTATTAAAAACTAAATTACATAAACTTAGAACTAAATAAGTTATAGTAAAACAAAGGTAATAAGTACTCAAAACCCACCACTCCAAATTATTTTACTGTTATTTGTGGTCTTGAAATTATTTACACCTCTTGTATCTGTGTGGTAGAAATACCACAAAATCATGCTGTTTTCCAAACCCCTTCATCGCTGCCCAAACCTGCTCAGTGACCTCATGCTGGGGCCTTGAAATCGGCCACAGTGATGGTGCTTACACCATGGAAATTGGAAAGCTACACACACATCCTGGTTTCTTTCTTTTGAGAGTTGATTGTTAGCAGCATACTATGGTCTCA